GGACTATCACACTTCCAAAGCTAATAAACCTATATCCTATAACTTAAATAGACTTATTAGACTATACGAAACGGAAACATTTCAGTACTTGTTATACTATATAGATAACAGCAAGATAAGAAAACAGCATGTATTTTACTTTATTACTGCATGGAAATTTGTTGCGTTAAATTTTCCTGTATTTATCTAGCGCATAAATGGAAAAAAGTACGAAAAAAATATTAAAAATAAAAATAATATTTTCGTGAAAAAAATGCGTTTTCGGCACATTTTATGACCCACGACTTTACCAACGACTTTGCCCACGACTTTACTCACGACACACGACTTTTAACCCACGACACACGACATATAGGGACACTCCTTCGATTATATAGGATCACTATTCAAACTAGAATAACTATAGATGTATAAATCTTCAAACTAGAATAACTATAGATGATGTTGAAATTATGTTAGCCTAATACACTTACATTCCTTGACGCAGTTCTTGCTACATAACACACCAAAATCCACCCGAAATGTTGACCACATGCAACAGGGATAGATTCAACCATTATACACAATCGGAAAAGATTTTATTGAATAATTGAATTAATATCTAAAGTATTTAAGCGAGCCTTTTGTGAAACAGAACATTATGTATACACAGTGTATGGCGCAAACACGTGAAAGTTGGATATGATTTGACCATAATATACTTTAAATAATTCAATAACCCATAATTTCAACATCTATAGTTATTCTAATTTGAATAGTGATCCTATATAATCGAAGAGATCTTTTGAAACACCGGATTTATGAAATAGTACAACAGGAATTTGAATCTGTTTTCTGACTAGTAATGATTCGGGATCATGGGAAACGCACAAATACACAGACGCACAAATACAAAGACGGATCACACAAATACACAGACGAAACCAGGAGAACACGCTCTTGAATACAAAATAAGTTTTCTGGATTGTTCCTATCGTTGCTACCATCTTTCCATTTCCAGTGCCTTAGTGCAGAGTGACAATTGGGGCATGTTATTTGACCAAAGTTGTTTGTATGAAACAGTGGGTTCCACAAGATGACTGAAGGAATAACGTTGTTTATCCAGTTATGTTTGAAAAAAAAGGGCTACCTTCTGGGCAAATAAGAACTTGCGTTTCGTCTGGCTTTTTCTCGCAATTCTCAATGCATAACTTGATAAAATTTAACCCACGACTTTACTATGGGACCAGCACACGGCGAATTTCGGACAAATAGCACGTTAAAATACTGATAAAAAACCCCACAAACAACAAGTCACTTTTGTTGCCATATTCGAATGACATCTAAAGCATGACTCAGTCGCGAGTGTATCACATGCAGGTGTGATTAAGAATCCAATACATAACTATTGTGTTTCGACACTGTCGCTCACACACGGAAACACTGCGGCAAGGCTGCACATATGTCATCCTCATAGACGCTGACTACGCTCGTTTGTTTGAAACCAACGAAAATAGCTTGCTAGCCTAACAATATTTTCAAGTCTTTCAGTCTCAGTGTCGTGTTGAAAGCTTCGAACACATGTAATTAGATCTATTTCTAAACAAATTAACGGACCACCAGCCGCATGGATTTCGAGTATCGCAAGAAAGCAACTAAACGTTTATATAAAAAACTTTGTTTTAAATAATACAGTATTATTTATCGCTTAAACGTCCCCTGCACCGCAATAGTACCTACAGATGACTAATTGTTTATACAATGCTGGTTGCGCCGTACGCGCAAGTTTGATTTTTGTTCTGGCGCCTGGCGGATTGAATTGCAAATGATCCACAAAAAGCAAATAATCCTCAAAAAGCAAATGATCCAAATGATCCACAAAAAGCAAATGATCCAAATGATCCACAAAAAGCAAATGATCCACAAAAAGCAAATGATCCAAATGATCCACAAAAAGCAAATGATCCAAATGATCTACAAAAAGCAAATGATCCGAATGATCTACAAAAAGGAAACGATCCAAATGCACCGGCCAAAAAGCCTGACGATCCAAAACAAATAGGTAGCTATTTAAAAAACAAAGAACAAAGTGAAATGATTTAATTCCATTATTTGCTATTGGTGTGACGTCACTCTTGACTTGTGACGTCACCCGTGACTTGGTATATCGCGCATAAACCTAATATGGTCTCTTTCTATGACAAGTTTATAACACCTTTTTATAGCAAAATGCTTTTAGTCTTTACACCTTCGACATGTCGATGCGTTAAAAACGTGAATGTAAAATGTAGAATGACGGTTTATAATAATTTTTATATTTCAGTATTTCAAATTAGTAAAATAGTATACGAAGATCGGAAGATACAGTTTATATTATATACAAATCCTCATATAAACAAAATATTTTGAGAAATATTGAAAGCCTCTCCAAAAATATGTACATGACGTGATAGATCGATGTTTATAATATAAACTACTGTATATATGTTCGGTATATATTCTTTTTTGCAATTGAGGTATTAAAAAATCACAATTCACTCACACAAAAATAAAGAGGTTATAAAGCTTACCAAGCGTATCTCCGAACTCATATCCAAATTCTTTTTAACTCTTTTAGCAGTGACAGCAGTGGTTTACATCCTAAAGGTGTATTGATAAAAATAATCTGACAGTGTCAGCATCAGAGTTGATCTCTGATATAAATATTGCATACCTTTACTTCTTGTTTATTTGTTTATTTGATATGTATATTTTTTGCAAGTCACGGTGAATCCGCTGGTTTTTCGAGCCTCCGGTATTCCCTGAAGACGAGACTTTGATCACGTTTTCACCACGTGGGTAAAGTCACACATGTGTTGTATTGTTGTATATATAGATAACTATACCGGACTTACCAGTGTTATGGTATGTTACTATTAGGGCTAATTGCTAAGTTCTGTTTCTATTGGTTAATATGTTGGGGTATGTTGGCAATTTCTGTGGTGGTGTGCTTACATGATGAGACACATGGTCACCTTGGCAATTTGTCAACTATCTATGTTGACTGTAGTAATGGTAACAATACTGTGGACTGTGGTTCAACTCAAAATACTCCGTGCAAGTCATTGCAATTTATTATTAGTGGAAAAGTGCAAAGGTTTAAGACAAGTAACGTTGAAATAAACATTATATCTGGAGAATGCAAGGAGAATGGTGTACTAAGGTTTGATAATGCAAAGATGAAAGTTAGTCATTGGTCCTTCATTGGATCTTCTGAGTAAGTAAAAGGAGTGCCCTCTCACTTCAATGGTCTTCAATTCTTGTATTTGCTTAGCCTCCTCCTCAGGCACCACCTTTAGATTGGCAGGCAAAATTTGCTTGTGGGTAAAAAATTTTAAACCGAAGCAACCCAGATGATCGACTACAAGATGCCTGCAGAGGAGGCTAGGGCATTGGCTATACTCGGGCCATTCTTGAAGCCAGATACCATTTGCTTGTGGCTGTCATGACCATGTCATGTTGTACCTGCTCAAAATGCAGGCAAGGGGAGCCACCTTAATTATGGCAGAGGGAGGCAAATCTGCTCTTGTAAAGTCATATGTACCAGAAAATCCAAAGGGAGGGGGTCGTCTTTCCATAATATCACAATTTTCGAGAGGTGTGCTTTTATATTAGAGAGGCTTAATAAGCGTTTGATTGGAATCTTGTAGATTAAATTCATCTGATTGGTTAATGGTAATGGTAGTAGAAGTCAAAATCTGAACCTCTCTAATATCAGAACTGTGGAAACCAGTGGCATGGTGGCTTAAAAATCTCAAGGGGGGGGGGGGGGCAGTGTTAAAAATTTGACATCCCATATAGTTATTTTGACACTAGTGCTCCCCCCCCACCCCACCTAAATCTGGCTCTTGGACCTCGCACAACTAGGGGGTCCAGAGGCATGTTGCCCAGGAAATTTTTGAAGCCTGAAAATGCCATTTCCTGCATTCTGAGCATCAAATTTCTAACAAAAATGTCTTCTAACAAAACTGTATTTTAAACAAAAACTGTAAAAAAAAAACAACGAAAATGTAATGCATCAGTCACATGTCATGTAAGGAATTTTAATTTAGAAACTTAAATTTTAGAATTAAATACTAATCCTTTCTTGGTGATTTTGGCACCCCAACTGCATTTTGGCGCCCCCCTTGAAACCATGCCCTCCTCCCAGACATTCCACCTCTCCCGATTTTACCGGGAGTCTCCCGAAAATTCATGCAATCTACCGGTCTCCCGATTTTTAAGAATATTCAGGAAATATCATAAAAAATTATAAATATACTGTTTTTAGCAACATAATAGTCTGTCTTGACCTTTTTTGAAGTTGCTTTATGGCAATTTATAGGATCACTTATTTATTTAAACATATTTTGGAAAATTGAGTTTGCCCCAAGAGCGTACACACTCATCTAGGGGGCTTACTCGTTAGAAATTAAAAAATACACTGTCACGCACACACGGTTTTTAATATTTGAAAACTAACACGATAGGTGTCAAGAATTATTGAAATAAAAACGTGCTGTTTCTTTAATATAAGTCTGAACATAAGAAAATATTGCCGTGTTGTGTTCCAACGACAGCATTTGAGAACCAAAGAGAAATATTTCCATAATTTGTTCATCCTTCAATCTTGACCACCCTTC